TTGATCACCAGGGTTGATTCGGCTGATCTGGCTGGCTAGGCGGGTGTCCCCTTCCTCCCTCACCGCTCCATGTGCATCCCTCCCGAAGCTGCCCGCTTGGTCAAAGAGGACGGCCTTCCCCAAATAGAGACGGACCGGTCTTCGGTCGAGGGTATACGAGTAGCTGCGCTCCCCTGCTAGAATCCTCAAAAAAAAAAAAAAGTAAACACTTGGGCCAGAGACATAATACAGAGGGTATGGAGCTTGCCTTGCATGTGGTTGGCCTGGATTTGATCTCCAGCATCCCATATGGTCCCCCAAGCACTTTCAGGAATAATTCCTGAGTGCAGAGCCAGGAGTGACCCCGAACCAAAACCAAACAAAAGAATTGCGGCGGGAGATAGAGCATCAGAAGGTAAGGCTTGCATATACCTTATCTGGTTCAATACCTGGCACCAAATATGGTGTGATCCCTGAGCACAAAGCCAGAAATAAACCCTGAGCTAGCAGTAAGCACAGAGCCAGGAGTAAATCCTGAGCACTACTAGTTTGTTCAAAAAACCGTTCTTTGAAACTCCTGAAGTAGGTTGGGGTTGTAGGCCAGTGGCTGAGTACTCAAACCTTGCATCTGAGTCTTGTCCACAGTGGTCCGGGGCATTTCAGGCCTCTTCCTGACCCTCCCTGGGTGGGCCTCTTACTGGGTGACAGTAACCAGAAAGCAGAGGCCCAGTTCCCCACAGCTGCGGCTGGAGTCCTGCCAAGTGCCCCAGTTCCTTCTTCCACATCTACCAACCCACTCACAGATAAACCATTCTTCTGGCATGGGAGGGAAGTGCCCTTATCTCGGACTGTGTGGGCAGCTGCCATTTTTGGCTGAGGCCAGCCCTGGTGCCCAGTGCCGTAAGAACACAGGGCAGGAGCTCAGTGGCTTTCCCAGTCTGCCGGGTTGTCTGGTGGCTACTGAAGCTGCTCCAGCATTTGGGGGTCTGCAGGAGTTAGTGTACTGTGCCTAAGTCACTCTGCACTGATGACAGTCCTTTTAGTTTGCTTCAGTTATTATTTTTGTGTCGTGTTCAGCAGCACTCAGGGCTTATTCCTGGCTGAGTGCTAGGGGTCACTCTTGGTGGGGCTCAGGGACCTATATCAAATGTTGGGGATCAAACCTGGGTTGGCTGTGTGCAAGGAAAGTGCCTTACCTGCTATACTACTTACTGCTTGTCTCTGGATGTCTTGGGGTCACACCCAGTGATGCTCAGGGTTTTATAACTGACTGCTCAGAGATCGCTCCCTTTTTTTGGGGGGGGGGGCTTTTTGGGTCACATCTGGCAATGCTCAGGAATTACTATTGGAGATATTTGGGGAACCATATGGGATGCTGGGGATCGAACCCGGTTCAGCCATGTGCAAGGCAAACGCCCTAGCCACTGTGCTATCACTCCAGTCCTTCTTTTTCTTTTTTAATTTTTTTAAACTTCTTTTCTATCTCTTCAGTTCCTCCATTACTGTATATATATATATATATATATATATATATATTTTTTTTTTTTTTTTTTTTTGGTAGTGGAGTGAATGACTCCCAGGCAGTACTGGGGAGCCTTGCGGTCACTCCTGGAAGTACTAGACCCAGCTGGCAGGTCAGATGGTTTAGTGCTTCACTGGGAATCCAACTCAGGACTCACACCTGCAAGGCAGGGGCTCCTTTACCACTGTATCAAAACTGGGCCCTAAAGAAGTGCATTTTAGCACTTAGAAGGGACAGAAAGACAGGAGTTTCTGCATTCCAGAAAGAGATGGGATCAGGACCGGGAGAGCTGGAAAAATACGGCCATTTTGGTTCTGCTCTGTCCTTCTGTTCACTGTGCAGATCAGCTTTCTCTGCTCCTTTGCCTGCCCGGGGAAGGTGGCATGGCATTCGTGTGAGATGTGAAGTGAGGTGTGAAGTAAGGTGGTGAAGTGAGATGTATTCACAAAGCCATTGCGGCCTGAGCTACAGATGGGCAGGGAGATTTCTTGGGAGGAGAAAATAGTTGTGAGCCGGGCAGAGAGCCAACAATACCTACTGTAATTTGTTTGCTTGTTTGTTTTGGGGTCACACCTGGTAGGGCTGGGGAAGAATTGGAGGTGGGTGTTTGCTCCACGTGGTATTCAGGTGACCACGTGGTGCCAAGGGCTGAGCCAGGCCTTATGTGAGCATGAGATCTAGTCTGTTGAGTTATCTTTCTGGCCCAGCCTCTGTAACCAATTTCTGTTAACACACTGGGTATGTGTTAATCTGTGAAAGGCGTGATGAGGATGAGAAAGATGCAAGCTCTTATTCTAATAGTTCTCATAATCTAGTTGGGATTAGAAAACGTCTTCACTAAGAATGTTCTGTTTTGTTTTGTTTCTGGGCCACAATGGCGGTGCTCAGGGGTTCCTTCTAGTGTGGGACAGAGATCATTCAGCGTGCAGAGTATGCACACCAGCCCATGAGCTAACTCCTTTGCCCTCTAAAAATCATTATTTTGGATTTGAGGCAACACCTGGCAGTGCCCAGGACTTACTCCTGACCTTCTAATAATAATTATTATTTTGGATTTTGTCAGGATGACTTACTCCTGACTCTTTATTATTATTATTATTATTATTATTATTTTGAGTTTTGGGCCACACCCTGCATTGCTCAGGTCTTACTCCTGGCTCTGTGCTCAGGGACCACTCCTGGTGGATTTTGGAGACCTTGTTGGTGCTGAAGAAAAAAACTCAGGAGGGCCTCGTGCAAAGTGAGCTTAGATATAAGCTCCTAGAATAAAATTTAGTGTTCGTCACAGACAGTTGTTACCAACTGTAACAACTGAATAAAGACACATTTATGTATTTTTTAGAGAGAAAATCTTCCAATAATACCACCCCTCCTGCCATGGGATCTGTCCATTTTGATCACAAGACAGAGAAAAATTAAACCCAGAAATCAGGGCCTTTTCATTTATTTTGGTTTTGGGGCCAGACCCAGCTATGCTCAGGGCTTACTCCAGGCTCTGTGCTCTGGGATCACCCCTGGTGGGGCTCTGGGGTCCATGTGTAGGGGTCTAACTCAGGTGGGCCACGTGCAAGGCAGGCATCTGACTGTACTATCCAGTCTCAATTGGTGCTTCTTTTTAAAAAAAAAAGGGCTTGGGAGGACCTTGTGGTTCTGGGGAATCACAGAGCACTTGAGCCATCTCCCTAGTCCAAGGCTGCAATTGTTTTCTTTGCTTTGGGGCCACCCAGCTGTGCTCAGGGCTGACTCCTGGCTCTGTGCTCAGGGAGGAGCTTGAGAAACCCGAGTGGTGCCCGGAATAGAACCTGCAGATGCAAGGCAAACGTTCGACCCACTGTTCTGTAGCTCCAGCTCCAAAGCTGACAGTTCCAAAGCTTCCATCTTTTTAACTGGTTGAGTAAGTTGCCTCGTCATCACAATGCTGCTGGGAGTACTGAGTGAGATGTGAATTCTGGACACTAAACACCCTGCACCCATTTCAGTACTGTTTGCCTGCTGAGGTTCATCCTGGCAGCCTCTGAGGATGGTATATTTTGACCTCAGCATAACCTTCAGAGCTCATAGACTTGGACATAAAGGTGCCTCTGGAGACCATATTTATGGCGGTCACATGGGAGGAGGCAGAATGGCAGGTACCCAGGTTTGGGTGCACAGCTACAGGTGTATTTCTTCGTATCCATCTGGGCTGGCTTCTTGTAGGAGGTGGGATTTAGCAAAGTTAGGAAATAGAGATCCTGAATTATTCCGGCTGGGGAGGAGGAGAGAACAAGCACAGAGGTAGCATGAGAAGCTCATTGCCCAGCCATTTGGTTGGGCAATCCTTACTAGAAAAGGGCAGAAAAGGGCAGGCTCTCGCCCCAGGGGTGTTAGTTTCCTAGTGGAGGCACTTGGGAAATAATCAGTGTGATCAACCCACAGCTCTGTTCCACTTGACCGCGTGAGGGAGAGCCTTGAAGGTCGAGTGGAACAGGCCTGGGGTTCCTATGGGAGGAGGGTAGCCTGGCAGGGTCCCAGGCAGATGCAGAAGTAAAAGGTCTGGGGCTAAGTGCACAAAATCCAGTGATGTCTGGAACAGACCATTTCCTTCCTCCAAAAAAGAAGGGCGTCAGCTGATTAGAGAAAAAAAAACCAAACTACCTCTTTCAGCCGGTCGACAAACCCATCCAATGTTTCAGTGCACCTACAGATATTGTGTGTGTGTGTGTGTGTGTGAGTGTGCGCGCGTGTGCACGCCGAGGTGGGGGCATCCTTTGCAATCCCAGACTCTCCTTCAAAAAGCCAATCCTACCTCGTGGCTCCTTCACCCCCTCCTCCGCTCAGGAGGGTGGCGAAAGCTCTAAAACCCACCTCTTTCTCCCGGTTGCCATGGAGACGGGCCCCAGTCCTTTCATTCCTTCTGGTGCAGGGAACATTTCTCCAACGCAAGCGGAATGGAGGGGGCTCAGCCCAAACGTGCCAGTGGCAGTGTAGGGGGAGGGGAGCGCTGGCAGAAACAGCGCCAGGGGGACTGCAAACACCGACCCAGGCCGAGGGACAAAGCCTCGGGTCCCCGCGGTCTATCTAGGAGCCAGCCTAGAGGTCCACGGCAGGGGGGGAGGCGGCGCTAGGCCGGAGGCGGGCTCCTGCAGGGCGAAGGCCGGACCGGGCAGCTGGGCGCGCCTCGGGGGCGCGAGAGTTCTGGGGCCCCGGGACGCCTCCAGGTCCAGTCGGGGCGGAGGGGGATGCGGGGGGGATCGCGGTTTCTCCACCCACGCGTCCATTGGGCGGCTCCGCCATCACTCCCACGGCAACACCTTTTCCACCTCCGCCTGGCTCGGCGCCCTTCCCCCCGCCCCCGTCACCCTCCGCCTCTCCAGGTCCCGGGAGCGCTCATTGGGCACGGGTGCGGTCACTCCGCCGGGGATGGAGAGGCCGATTGGACACGAGGCCTTGGCGCCGCCCCCCGCCTGACCGGATTGGCTGGCAGCGCGTTGGCGCAACGGAAGAGGCGGCCGGCCGAGGGTGCGCCTCTGCTCCGGCTGGACCGCCGCGGAGGAGGCTCCTAGCGTCCGGCGCTGGGGGGCTGGCTCGCGAGGCCGCAGTGGCTGCTGCGGATGGGATCGGGCCGGCCCGGCGCGCCCATGGAGCGCCACGGCAGGGCCGCCGCGTCCGCATCCGCCTCGTCGGCGGCCCAGGAGCCGGCGCCCGGCGGCCCCGAAGGGCGGCGGCGAGAGCCGCCGCAGCGCCCGGCGAGCAGCGCGTCGGCGCCTGCGGTCGGGGGCTCGGTCCCCGCGGCGGCCGAGGGCGTGAGGCGGGACGCGCCCGGGGCCGGCGGCGGCGCCACCTCGCTCACCCGCCAGCGCGTCGAAGGCCTCCGGAAGAAGCGGCCGCGTAAGTGCCCGGCGGGGCGCCCCTGGCTTCGCCGCTCGGCGGCGGCCCGCCCTGCCCCCCTTGGGCCCGGCCGCCGTTTCCCCGCCCGCCCCGCGCGGGGGTCTCCGGGCGGGGTGGGGGCTGGCCTCCGGCTGCGGGCTACGAGGACGCCCCCAACCCCCCCCGAGACGCGGGGGCTTCGGGCCGTCGGCGTGGACGGGCCTCGCTCGCTCTCCTCCTCCTCCTCCTCCTCCTCCTCCTCCTCCTCTTCCTCTCGGACCTTCTCCGCCCCCCACCTCCCACCCTTTTGGCCCGAAAGTCACATGATTAGATTCCCTAGTTTTCACGACTGCTTTTTGACTCATTTCCACTTCCTCCCCCCCAGCGCCTCCGAACTGGACCCTCAGGCGTGGCCCCTGTCGGTTTCCAAAGAGCCACTTTTTCCTGCCTAGACCTTGAGGCTGTATATAGTATATATTTTAAATCTGTAGATTTCGGGCTCACTGGAAAGGGTTAAATAGCCCCCGGGTTGCTGCGGCGTTTTCACATTGGCTTCCAGTCTTGTGTGCATCCAAGCGTTTAGGGACCGTTCTCGCCTCCAAATTCGGGTCCTCGCGCACCCGGGGCTCTTATTGATTTGCTTCGATGTGCAGATCCGATCCGGGGTGGTTGGCATGCCGAATTTGGAAGGGTAAGCATCCTCCCGAGTTCCACCGCGGGGATTCACTGCACATGCTCTTCCCGGAACCTGGTGCACCGTTTTATTATCAGGTTTCTCCTGCATTGTGATCTAGGCCAAGTATTCGCCCCCCTCCACTCCCACCCCATCCCCCTCCTTTACAGATCTTTCAACTCAGGTCTCTCTCTAGCGGCCCCTGGTAGAATCCACTGACTTGATAATCTGATGGAAGCTTTTCCCAACAGTTACATTATACAGAACTCGACTTCTTTTTTTGCTACCCCGTGGGCTTTGTTACCAAGTTTGTGTTTCAGGAAATAAATGTATCCTAAAGGCAGATTCTGAGAAAGGGAAGCAGGGACCGAATTAGTGTGAGGTCTTAATTGCATAGTCTTGAACCTTCCTCCAATCACTGAAAAAGTTAGGTTTTTTTTTTTTTATAATTTGGGTGATAAACATCGTGTTTTGCTGTGAAAAGCCTAAGAGTTTTAGATTCCTTTGTTTTTACCTATAGAAAAAGAGCTTTTTGGAAGACAGTTTGTACATTTTCAGTCTACGTCTAGACCCTGGTTTGAATGTGGAGAAACACCCAATTTGTAAATGATTAGCTCTCTCATGGCTTTGCTACTGCATCATTAGAAAGGGATGTAGATCCCAGACACTGAGCAAAGGAGTCACAGCTTATAATAGGCCAGATGTTTGTGGCCGTTAACACCAAGGGTTCTAAATACGCATTGTATTCTGTGTATTTGCATGGGACAGGCTAATAATTCACTCAACCCATCCAACTCAGGCTGGTAGTCAGTGCTTTACAGTTGAAGAAACTGGGGCTCACTTGTCTGTTGTCAAATGACTAGTGAAGGGTGGAAGAGAAATGTAAACTCAGGTGTCCTATCTGCTTCCTTTCTGCTCATAACCACTCTACTCTCAGAATTATTGTGCATGATTGTTTCTTCATTGCTCTAAGATCAAGTTTGAGCACGACCCGACCCTTTGTGTTCAAGGCTGTCTTGGGATGAAAATCGTTATCTTCTGTGGGAATACTCCCAAATCATGAGCATAAACATGACTGGGGAATTAAAAAGGCATTTTCCCTGTGTCCAGATCTCTTGAATCAGAATCTGGAGAATGTTTTTAGCTGCCTTCATGTCATTCATATAGTGGTGACTCAAAGACCACTGGGAGAAATATTGGTTTAGACCATTTTAGAAGAGTGTATATAGTATTTTGAAACTCCCTTTAAGATGCTACAGACAAATCTTCACATTCTAGTGTTGCATCATTTTTGTTGTGCCTGTCTTTGCTCCCTTCAGAGCTTTCTCTGATAAGCCATGAAAAGCTGCCTCTTGTTAAGGTGTACTGGCGAAGAATCAAAGGCGTTCTTCCATTTTCTCTGTGTCCTTCCCTGGAGCATCTGTTAAGTGGTGAGGTCGTGTGGTGAACCCGGCAAGAATCTGCTCTGGTTTTAACTTGGAGACAAATCAGAAGGGCTAAGACTTCTTGGACCTTTTCTCAAAATAGAGTTGAGTGTGGGATAATGCCTCCATTCCTTTGTGGTTAGAAAACCTCCCCTGACATCCATTTTATATTCCATAAAGGTAGAGAACTGTCATGTAAATCTAGAAAGAACAGTTGTTTTCATAAGAATTCTTCCCTTTTTTTGGAGGGGTGGAAACCACACCTGGCGATGCACAGAGGTTACTTCTGGCTCATGTACTCAGGAATTACTCCTGGCAGTGCTTGGGGGACTATACGGGATGCTGGGAATTGAACTCGGGTTGGCCACATGCAAGGCAAATGCCCTACCCACTATGCTCCATCCCCCTTTTAGAATTCTTGTGGGCCTTGAGATTGGTCATGCTAGAACCACATGTGTCCTTAGAGTTGTGTGATTCTCAAATCATTCCCATTCCAGATCAGGCATTTGTGTGTCCAAGAAATTCTGTTTATTTTTTGGGGTTTGCTTTCTGTTTCTGGGTCACACTGAGGGCTTCCTCCTGATTCTGTGTTCAGGGGACCATATGTGGTGCTGGGATTGAACCTGGGTCAGTTGTATGCAAGGTCCTATCTCTCTGCCCTACAACAAGTTCTTCTAAGGTTTTAGATCAGGTGGGATGTATTTCATAGTATTTCATAGAAATACCAAATAAAAATTCATTTGAAGCCATGAACCCCAGAATACTAATTATGCTAGCAGTAATTGACAAACACTTCATAAACATTTCTCTCTCTCTCCCTCTCTCTCTCTCTGGGGGTTGCGATCGGGCCACAGTTGGTTTTTAGGGGTCACTCCCTGCTCTTACTGGTAGTGCTCAGGGGGACCTTGCTATGCCAGGGATTGAACCAAGACTACCTGCATGCAAAGCATGTGTTCCCCGCCTTTGAGCTGGCTCTCTGACCATCTCCTTTAATTCTAGTGATTATCTGGAGGTAGGTTTATTTTTATTTTATCTTCCTCTGGTGTGAGGGATTGAACCCAGTTCTTGTGCATGTGCTTTAGTGCAGAGTCATACACCCTTTGTCTAAGGACATGCTGTTAGCTAGTTACAGAGCTTTTTTTATTCCAGGCATCTGACTTCAGACCCAGTGTTCTTGACTTGGGGAGCAGGGGAAGGCACATGTGATCTAACCCTGTGTTCTTCAACCTTTTCATACCTGTGGACCAGCATTTGCCTGCATTATCGGTCCACGCACTGGCAGTTCAGACTAGAACATTGGCTTTCTACACTGCAGACCAGCACCAGTCCATGAGCTGGTAATGATTGAGAACCACTGATCTATCCCAGGATCTGCACTAAGTCCTCAGGTCTGTAAGGGGGTCAAAGAACTCGTAACTTTAAAAAAAAATAAATCTTATTGAAGCACCTACTATACAAAATTGTGTATGGTAAGATGCACAATTTTGATGCACACATATACTGAAAGAAAGAGTGCTTCTTAATTAGGGGCTCCAGATGTGCAGGAGGTATGAGGGGCCAGAGAGATAGTGCAGTGGGTAGGGCGCTTGCCTTTCATGTGTCTGTCTGACCAGGGTTCACTCTCCAGCATCCCATATGGTTCCTCTGAGCAACGCCAGGATTAATTCCTGAGTGCACAACCAGCAGTAGGCCCTGAGCATTGCTGGTGTGGCCCAAAAACCAAAAATTGGGGGGGGGGGGGGGAAAGAAAGCTGTGCTGGAGGTGCGGGCACCCTGGGGTTAGCTAGCATCCTCTGGTAGTGTGGGGGGTGGGGGCTAAGCTGAACCTTGGGTAGACTGTTTTTTTTTTTCCTTTTTCAACTTTCATTCTTATGTAAATATCCACAAGTCACATTACAGAATAAGCCCAACCAGGGTAAGAAGACCAACGTTATGTTTTTGTTGAACTGACCTCTGCCTTCTAGATGGGGCTCGAGCTTCCTAGGCAGAGTAGGGCTTGCCAGCCTTGGAGTGGTGCTGATCTCTCTTCGTTTCTGGGAAATAGAACCAGTGAAGTCCTGGAACTGGACAGTAAGGACAGAGACTTGCTGAGAAGGTGGGCTGCTCTTCCTTGGCTCTGGGCGGAGAGTCGGTGTTGGCAGAATGGAGAGTGCTGGAGCTCTGGAACCACCTTTAACTATTGTAGGGTTTGATGTTCACTTAGGGAATCAGGAATGGTGCTCGAGTGGGATCAAGAAAAAGACAGACAGATTTCTGTTGCTTTGTAACCCATTTTTAAGAGACAGTGTTTTTAAACCTGTTTTGCTGACTTTATTTGTTGGTGTTGGACAATGAACCCACGGCCTCATACGTGTGAGATAGATACTTACGTCACTGGACCGCATTGCTCTGTCCTATTTTACCAGCATTAAAATGAAATGAAATCCTTATCTGATAAGAATCTGTGTCTTAAATGTATAACAAATATAAAGCATTAAGTAGGACCTAAAAATAAACTAGCTTCACAGCTGTGTAAAAGGTTACAATATATTTTAGAGGCTATATGTATGAGTCATGCATTTAGATAATGTAATTATTCAGTGTTGGTATTCCTGCCATATGCCTGAGGGAACAATGTGAGCAAGATATGTATGCTATTAAAAAATACTTTGCTTGGAGACGAGAGATCCTCAATAGGCTGAGCTCGTGATTTCCATGTGGGAGGCCTGGGTTCCCTCCTGGCCCCACATGATCCCCCATGCACCCCCAGGAATGACCCCCAGCTGTAGATTATTGGAGATGACTTTATTAGGCAGTGAAATACTGGAGTAGTGGGTTTGATTGGTCCTTTAAAAGGATAGTGATATTTCTTGTGATTAAGTTTATAACCAACCGAGCACTTTTCCTGGCTTGGATATCTTTATGTTCTGGTAATATTTTTTATA